AGGACCTGTATCCGATGCTGGATGGAACGCGCTTCAAAATTATCTATACTAGGAGATCAATCGGTCTCTTACATGGAAGTTCAGCTTAGATGTTGCGTACGCCCCTCATTCCTAGAACTCGCTTAGTTCTAGCTCCCACGCAACGTAATCGTCGGCGCCTTGGCGACAGACAGTTTCAGGGGGAGCGAATGTAATATACTGTTAAGAAGCTCGAGCTTGGATACCAATGAAGGAGAAAAGGAGATCCACCGCCTCTGGTGAGGCTCTGATCGAAATTCGAAAAATCCATTGATCATCATTGTGAGAATTAGAATAACCTTTTTAAGTGAAGTTCTGCCACGCTTCTATCCTCCGGAGGCACCCTCCGCATTAGCTGACCGAAGCCACCGCCCCACGCCATGTTGAGGACCATGATAGAATCTGTGGGGTTCTTTGGTATGCAGGTCGGTGACAAGAGTCTTCTGAATTACTCATAATGGTACTAGCGGTTGTCCGTTTGGTTTCTCGCTTGGCTTCGCGTACCTCATTCTGGTCTCTTCCGCAGGGTTGAGGTGCCAAGCTTTGTACGCGTCTTTCTTTGCCGTGACCGCGGCTGAGGCATGTTGTTTTTTCCATGTTTCAAAACCAAGCACGTCAGTCCGGTGCACGTTTAAATTCCTTCTTATAGTCAGTGGGCCGCGCGGTATCTCGGATTTCACCGACGAGTCTCTTCCAGTCTTTTTCAAAGTCCTCGAACGTGGCCTGATGGATCTTGATAAGTGTGACAGTTGGTCCCAGTGTAGCAATCCTGTTCCACCTCAAAAGCTTTCTGGTGACTCTCGGCTGCTTGAAGGCAGATGAGTTGGCCGGCATCTTAATGGTCGCAATGACTGGACGATGTTACTGTTGACCGTTACCGATGGGATCACTTTGCAGCCTAGCACGCTGCTTCGTAGCTACTCCGCGTCGAAATGTAGTTGATCTGATTCTAACGACCCCCATTATAGTATGTGAATAGATGGGATTCTCTTTTCTGGAAGAAGGGGTTGATTATGATCAGATCCAGTGACCGGCCTACTCCAAAATGCATATGCCATCACCAAACCTTGTGCCGTAGGCGTATCGTCCGTAAGTATCTTCGAAGTGGATGTTGCTTGCGCCTGTCTGTTCATTGATCACCCGTGATGCACAGATCTTTGTCAAATAGAAGCGCAGATGCTATGTCGGCAAGCTGTTCCCAGAACTTGTCCCTGTGGGCAGTGGGCTTCCTCGCGATAATATAGGTTGGAAAGAAAGTCCTGTCACTGTTGTGATTTTTTTTTTATTTTCTAACTCAACATGAAATAAAAACTAATCAATAATATAATCGCCATTGTTAGCCACTACAGTGCTCCACCTAATGGGCAACTCAGCTATCCCCTTCTCCCAGAACTGAGGAGGCTGCGAGTCGAAGAAGTAGGCAACTTCTCGAAGAAGTAGGCAACTTCTCGATTGATGCCATCAAATTCGCTGAAGGTTTTCTTACCTAGGAAAGCCTTGAGGGAGCGGAGCAAGTAGTAGCCGGAGGGTATGAAGAACATGGTGGATGTTAACGGTCTCCCAGCCTAGCTCCTCAATTTGGCGGTGGGTCTCTTTAGCCACATGTGGTCTGGCGTTATCATGGAGGAGGTGCACCGAAGCTCGTCTCGGCCGCTTTTCTCGAAGAGCTTTCTGGAGTTGGGCGGCGTAAACGGTAGCGGTAACCGTATGCCCTTGCGGAAGCAGCTCGTGGTGCAGCATGCCCTTCGAATCCCAGAAGCAGCAGAGGAGGACCTTCTTGGAGTGCAGGTCCGATTTGGCTTGCGTAGGCGGGTCTTCTCCTCGAGGGAGCCACATGGCACGACGTAGGTTGGAATCATAGAGGACCCAGCTTTCATCTCCAGTCACAATATCTTCCAGAAACTCCTTCCGGTTACGGTGTAGAAGGAGGGATCGACAGATGCTCACCCTGGCCGCGTGCCATCTGTTAGAGCATGAGGTATCCATCGCGTGAGGACTTTTCTGTAGCCAAGGGCCTGAAGGCGGCTTAGAGCTGTTGTATGGCTACACCCTAGCCTTGTCGCAATACTGCGCGTGGTAGCCTCTGGATCCTCTCTGACAGGTTCGAGAACGGCGGAATCTTCTACGCCGCGAGGGCGTCCCAGACGAGGTTTGTCTTCGAAGATCGTCTCTCCTTTCGCGAAGCGAGCGAACCAACGGTGGACAGTCCTGACGGTGGTGGTGTCCTCCCCCAATGCACAGTTGATGTTACGGGCCGCTGCCGTCGCTCCAGTGCCGCGGCGCCACTCATAGAAGATGATCACTCGAAGCTGCTCCAGTGAAACTGACATCATAAATAAACACAGGGAAGAGCAGGAGCCTTGATATACCTCTTGTGGAAAAGCTTCGAGAATGTTCTACAACCTTAGCATGTTACGTCATGTTCGAGCTTCGAAGATCAAAAACTGTAGGCTATCTAAAAAACACTGACAGGACTTTCTTTCCAACCTATACATCCTATCCAATGCGTGTTTAGCTCGCACGTGGAATTGCCTCCATATGGGCTGATCTTTTTCAAATAATTCTTGGAGACTTGGCAAGGGCGATCCGCGGAAAGCCTTATATACCTCACTATCTGCACTCATCTCTATGGGTCGCGGACCTGGCAAGGGAGCATGTGAACAGCTAGTGTGGGGAGCCGTTAGATCGTCCTGCAATAGCGTAACTAGAAATTGACCGGATCGCAATAATCACATAAGAGCACAAACCAGAGGCCATTTATGCATCCACGAAGGTGCATCAGACAGGAGTTTGAAAGGTCCCTGGTGATCACCTTTTCTGCTACCCCTTAGATCGCTGTCGACAGGTGCGTTTTCACCTTCTCTATTCGAAGGGTAATCCTGTTGCAGTCGCTTTTCTTGGGTGCCTGCGAAGTAGTGCGAAGTATGAATACATGTCATCGTACCCCACATAACGCTTCTGTTCTTGTCCTACATTCCTGAGCTCGTTGTCCAACCATCTGACCAGACACCCGTCGTAATAGCGAGTGATGGCACTGAACTCAGACTCCATCTCCTAGGGCATGGCTCCTAGCGCACGACTGCGATCTATTGTTACTAACGAAAGCCCAGTCCGCAGCTGCGTACCACTGCAGCAGGCGCCTTAGACCCTCCTTTTCCATGCGCGCACTAGTGTTCTCTAGAAATGCTTTCATCTTAGGCATAATAGTGGTTATTCGTGATCTCCTCACCTGACCGACGGAGCTCCGCAGAAAGGGGGATCAACTTCGTGCGCGCTTTCGAAGCACCACTTTGCCATTAAGGCGAGTATGCTCAGCTGTCGTGAGCTCCACCGGCTGCCAGGTGGAGGCCTTTTAGCATCTGCATTCAGGAAACCGTTATGGATAGAGAGATTTTTCGGACAACTAAATGTTGTACCTCATCTTCCCTCTTTGATAGTTCGAGAACGAGGAGCTGGTGTGAGCGGTAGACCGTCTCGATAGCTGGCTTCGTCAACTCGAGCACGTTGCAAAAAAAAACTGATGCGAAAATAGAGCCAGCTTCAACTCTTCGACCCACCGCTTAGATTCGTAAATTTGGGCGTCTATCATAATTATAACATATCGAACACCGCTACTACTGACCCTACATCGCAATCGCAGCTACCGCTGCAACAGTGCTTCCTTTTAAATTACGTTCCTTTAGATTCTCTACTAGTCGCTCTCAGCTCTCCCGTTGTTGTACAGGTTTTGAGCGGCTGCTGCACTCATCAGACGAAAACCGCACCACAGCCACAGCCAGCGGTTCAAGCTGTGTCGTCTCGGGGTCCGCGGACAAAACGAAACAGCTTCTTCAACATTTTCCACTCACCAGGTAGTACTTCTCGGAATCGTCGCTATCCGAACCGCTGTCGCTCAGTGCGTACTTAGAAGCCTATAAATGGTTCCAGCAGTGATAAAACAGACGTCTTTGCTACCCAGATATGGTGGAAAAACCCTGCACTCACATCTGATGCATAATCATCTTCTTCACATTCCCCTTCCCTGTCGACATCTCTTAAGCCTGCCTCAATTTCGTCGACTGGCTTTGAACAAGATGTGTTTTAACGCATCGGCACTAAGTACCGAGCCCCCCCTCCCCCAAATTATCAACAACCCGAGCAGTTACGACGACAGCCCTCAAGTTCTGATAATTACATCTTGCGAGGATGCAAATAAGGCATGAAAGGCGTAAAGCTGTAAATGTTGATTCCACGCTGCTCATGCCATTGATCTCTTCGTTAAGGTACGACGGAATGTCAGCGGTTGTTAACAATGTTGAACCCTCTACCATCCTGTGACCCTCATTGCATGATAACAGTCTCCCACTAGCAATTATTTCAACACACAAGAATTGGGCCTATACACAGTAATGTGATTACGTGACGTAGGAGGTACCAAAAAACGCCTAACTCACCGCCTCTATCACACGAGCGTGACATAAATTTTCCAGCGAATTATTCCATGTCTCCTAATATCTCCCATCATACTGTCAACGTTTGCCCTATCCACAGCTCCGGCCAAGGAAAGACAAGTGACCGTAACAAATTTCGGGTTTTTGCTCGCGCTACTGATTTTCTACAGCGATCTCATCTCCTCAAATCGACCACGTGCAGCGCAAGATATCATTTTTTGGAAAGAAAGCCCGAATTGCGGTATACGCTAGCCCGGTCATGAAAGTGAAAGAACCCTTTTAACGGCGACTCAAATCCGCGGACGGCATTCACAACCAGCTCCTTGCTAATGAACTCTCTAAGACTGCGCGGTAGTCCATTCGAAGGTACATATACACGCGTCTCCAGCGATAGTTGGAAATAGTGTAGTTTTAACATAGCAATCAGTCTGAGGAGGTGTAGGGTAGTTTTAACATAGCAATCAGTCTGAGGAAGTGTAGGGTACAATGAGCTCACCCCGGCTGCCTTGCGCTACCAAAAGATACCAGCTGTGATAACGCCGCAGATGAGGTCTACACCTTTCGGAATCGACGTTTTCGATGGTACCAACTGAACCTAGTTTCGGTTACCATAAGGATTTGCACACCTACTTTGTAAATGAAGAAAACTTGAGCTTCAGTTGCCTTGCAGGTTTATTACAGAAAACTGGGTGCACATAAAACACAATGACTACACTGTCAGTCTTTGAGAAAATTGCACAACTTGCAAAACAATACCCGAAGAACATGCGCAACATTTTATATAAATTGAGTAAATTGTCATAATACAACGATTGAAGAGAAAAAGAGAGAAGAGACCTCAGTTTCAGAACAAAAAAAAGTAAACACGAAAAACACGAAGAAACCTCTAGCAAAACAAAAACAAGGCGATTTGTAAAAAAGTAAACGATAAACAGCGAAAACATGACACCAAAGTAGAAATAACTTACCTTGAACCGCAGGAGCGAGGAAATTGACGAAGGTACGATCTGAAAAATGTTCGTAAGGAAGTTCACAATAAAAACACGAGCTCATGAATTACTCATTAAACTACCGACAGAAAAACAACACAAAAACATCAAAGAAATAAACAATCTACCATGATGCAGTGGTGCAGGTGTAACATTGCTTGCTTTGCCACGCGGTCGATCCTTGAGATTTATTCGAACCTCAAACTTGGGTAATTAAACATAAAAGAGCATAACCATTAAACGAACATACACTACGAATTCTAGAAACGATGAGGAAATCTCAAGAGCATATTTCTATGAACCTACTAAGCAATGGTAGAGCAAAAATAGTTAAAGGACAAGGAAAAAATGCACCTGATCCTACAATGCACCCAAGCGAATCGAGCGTCGGCGCTTCCTCTTTTATGCGAACTAAGTATGTTTTCCTACGAAAGAATGTATACATTATGCGTTGTTTCCTGAGAAAATCTACCATTTCAATCAGATAAGGAGGAAAGGAATTCAATCAACTGTAAAGCATGGGAAAACATTTACATCACAAGAGAAAGGATCCTACTAAATATAATCCGCTAAGTGTGTCTGTTGGTGTGTGTGTGTGTGAATGTTTGTGTGTCTGTCTGTATGTGTGTTTGACCGGAAATTCATAACTTCCTTCAAAACAGCGATAGTGCGCTCAAATTGATAAGTGATGTAGGGGGGCAGGAACATTGTTGGTGGGTGGCAGGAAGTGATAACAGTTGATAAGATACCATAAGGAGCCTTAGAAGGAGTGGGTTGCCTAATTCATAACACCTGCCAGAGCAACGACCGAACGTTGGATCCAAGAAGTGAGATAGGCGGCAGGATGGGAACATCATTGGTGGGTAGCAGGAAAGTGATAGCAACTGATAAGACACCATAAGGAGCCTTAGAAGGAGCGGGTTACCTAACTCATGGCGCGGGCCTCAGCAACGACGAGACGTTGGTTCCAAGGAGTAAGATAGGGGGGGTGGGACATCATTGGTGGGTGGCAGGCAGTGATAACAGCTGATAAGATACCTTGAGGAGCTTCAGAAGGGGAGGGTGACCTTAATAACAACGTCAGCCCCAGCAACAACGGGACGTCGGTTCCAAGAAGTACGACGGGGGAGGGCAGGATGGGAACATTAGGAAGCCACAAAATTCAATGCATGAGTTGTAGCACACTGGGGAACTTCTTCCAGTATGCATTCAGAGGTGGTTAAGGTCCATTGGTTGTGGGATATACTTACTTACTTTGATACTTTGATCCCTGGCTCCTTCAATCTAGGCTTGATCTTCACGTGGGGACCACAGCTACTTCCCACTCAACACGCCACATTTGAGGCGCACTTAGAATCCAATGGTGGTAGACCGCGGGTCTCTCTGAAAATTATTTTAAAAACGAGTGGGACCAAACGCGTTGTAGTGAGTCCGCCAGAGGGCCTTTCGGCCGTTCCTTGGGAGCCATTCTGTGATGCGGAGACTCCATCTGTCATCATTGCGGCGGAGCAAGTGACCAGCCCAGCGGTGTTTGCACTGCGCCATATACTGCAGCGGATCTTTCAATCTCGACCGCTCCCTTAGGTCTGTACTTCGTAGACCTTGTTGCCATTGCTGGCGGCGGCCGACCTTCAAAAGACATCTCTCCAGTGCACGATGCGTAGTTTGCATTGCCTTGTGATTGTCCTGTTTTCAGGCCAGGTTTCGGTCGCGTAACACATCGCTGGTAGCACCGTGGCGTCGAATATCGAGGCTCTTAGGTTAGGGTCCTTAATTTGCTCCGTTACTTCACGAATCGTTCCAAAAGCTGCCCATGCTGCACGCCTCCTGCGGCTTATTTCAGCAGAGATGTTGTTCAGCATGTTTAGCTCTCTTCCCAGATACACGTAGGAATCCACTCTTTCGAGAGCAACTCCTGCCAATTTCACGGTTCCCGCGTCACACCAGTGGTTCACCATCATTTTCGTTTTGGACATATTCATTTCCAAGCCAATCTTCTGACCAATCATGTCGAGCTCGTTTACCATCTCTTCCATTTCGACTGTGTTATCGGATATCAGAACGATATCATCTGCAAAACGGAGGTTGCTTATCCTTTTCCCGTCAATCAAGTATCCTTTGTCATCCCAGTTGAGGTTTGACATCGCATACTGTAGTGCTGCCGTGAATAACTTCGGGGATATCGTGTCCCCCTGCCGTACCCCTTTCTCAATGGGTACTTTTACCTTGCGCTCGAACAGTTGCAGGGTTGTTGATGTGTTCGATAAACTCTGTTCGAGCAGGCGAATGTAGGCAGAGGGTACTCCGGCTCGCACAAGGGCGTTGAGAACAGCATTAACCTCCACTGAGTCGAAGGCCTTTTTGTAGTCCACAAAGACGAGGACAAGTGGAAGATGGTACTCGCGGCTCCTCTCTATGAGCTGTGTTACTGCCTGTATGTTGTCCATACAGGAGAAATTCTTGCGGAAGCCGGCCTGCTCTGGTGGTTGATAGTCGTCTAGCAGAGCATCTAGGGACGTTTGTGGAAGAGCGGAAGAGATTCGTGTAGAAACCACTAACGATTTCTCGATAGATCTCCTAGATGTTTGTATTCTTCCATCCTTGTCCATAAGAGCTGAAATGACATTTCTTTGATCGTTCAGATCTCGTTTGCAGCGTTTGATGCTCGATCTTGTTTCTGCCGCCTTCAGCAGTCTAGTTCTTCTGTAAGCTCGGAGTGATTCTCTGACGGCAAACCGGCATGCCTTGTTGATGGTGACTTTTTCCAAGTGCGTGGCATTAGGGTCCATTTTCATTGCCCTCCTTTTTTCCAACAAAGTGGTTGCGACCTCATTGAGCCTTGGGCTAGAATCTGATTGCGCAAGTCGCGAAAGCTCTGCGCACTTGGACAGACCTTCGACCAGATGTTTGTAATCTTCTGATGGGTCGTCCAGCAAATGCCAGCTATGAGCCTCAATGCAAGCTCCCAATTGCTCAGTGTTGTAGGAGGGATTCCTCGAAGGTAAGGGCCTATGCCTGTCGCGCTTGAATAATTTCTTCTTGAGACATACTTTGGCACGTATCAAACGGTGGTCTGAGCCAGTATCGAATGACGGCAGCACTGATACGTCGAATAGGCTCCAGCGTCGATTGGTTAGGATGTGATCGATTTCCTTGCGCGTTTCTCCATTTGGACTTTCCCAGGTCCATCGCCGTCCAGTCGGCTTCTCGAACATAGAGTTTCCGTGATAAAGGCGACATGCAGACAGCAAGTCAAGCAGCCTTTCTCCGTTCTCGTTTCGACTGTTCGTTCCATGGGGCCCGAGTCGCCAATCGCCGTTGTGGTTCGTGCCTATAAGGGCATTGAAGTCACCAACCACATACTTGTAGTAAGTTCTCTCATTCTGAATCGTATCTTCCAGAAGCTGGTAAAATTCTTCGCGTTCTTCGTCAGTGGCGGTGGAGGTGGGTGCATATCCATTGATAATGGATATGGCTCCTTGATCTTTGGTCAGCAAGCGTAGAACAGCGATGCGTGGACTGATGATTTTGTGAGAGTCTACTAGATGGACCACTGCCTGGTTTATGAGAAATCCAACTCCGCCGACATTCTTGCCATCCACCTTGGCTCCAACAATAAGCAGCTCGTTGTGATCGGTTTTCCTAATGGTTTCCGTTCTGCCCTTCGTTTCTTGTATAGCGATAACATCGTACTTGATCTGACGACTCCTCAGCAGAAGTGTTCGGAGATCAGCATCCGATGCAATAGTCCGACAATTATACGAGCAGACGAAGAGGCAGTCCTTGTGTCGTTGGGTGGGGGAGTTTCCGGGTTTCCGATTAATCTGATGACGTCCTGATTCCCTGACGAGATTAGATGGCCCCTCATCGGTAGAGGCAACTCCCGACGTCGTAGAAGAGCATATCCGATGTACGCAGGACTGGGGCGCTATTGAAGCTGTTTGAGCAGAAGAAGTGGCTTAGGTTACTCCCTTGTTCCTTGCTAGGGATACAAGAAAGCCGCCCATACACACATTACTGTGCGTACTGCGTAGCCGTTTGTACCGTTGGCCACCATTAGTGGTGTACACCCTATCACCGCGGTGAGGTGGTACATGATAGGGGTTGTGGGATATAAGTTGCGATATAGTGTACACGGCAAGGGTCAGTATCCATTCCACTTTTACTCCGCTTGCGACTGATGTTGCTCGAATCAATGGGCAAAAGCTCAGTGTTTCTATCCTTTAGCGTTATAGTAGACCGCTAAACTTCCGAGTTTCGACAAAAAGTAAAAGCTCAAAGTTGTTCGCCAGTGGGGAATGATAAGGGCCACCAACAGGCGGATATGTGAAAACTCAACGGAAGTGTTATGATGTAAGCACATTTCACTATGATTTCGATATTGTTACCTTTCAACCGCTAAGCCGTTCTATCGCCAACGAATGATGAGTGTTTATAGAAATCTGATAAACACATTGGCAATCGCTCATTAAAGAGGAGAAATATGGAAATATCATGAAATGGGCCGAATTGTGAAACATAGGAATTAGGCCAAGTGTTAGGGGTCAACACAGAAATCCTTTCATAGATCAGTACCACAGACTGAACCATTCGCGCAGTAGTGCGCTTCAGCCAAACTGGTATACATGAAACTAAAAAGCATGATTCATTCTAAGCTATATATGATCATAGCTGTGATACTGCCGGTAGCTCATGAAGATGGCCCTCCATATTGATCTTCCAGTTCTGCCAGCTGCGCCGAAAGGTCTCGGTATTCGCTCTCGTTTCTTTCGATTCTCTCCGGTAGTGAGCACAACGCGCTATGGTGAGAATCTAGACCGCAATATCTGCACCTCATCCTTCGTCGCCAACATCTGTCAGTAGAGTATAGAGTGTCGAGGCAATTTCGGCACCAGACTCGTCTTTCACGCGCATCAGCTTTTCTGAAAAGAGGGCAACAGTCACTGTAGTGCTGTCCTTTCTCATTACAGAAGCCGCAACGGATGTAGGTCTCTTCCGCCCTCAGAATGTTGACAAAAGCAATGTCTTCGCGGTACTTGTCGTTCCGAGTGAAGCTTTTGTTTCAGTTCTTCCATTCGCGACAGTAATTTGCGCCTCTTGCTTCACGGTCACATGCACCTCATCCTTTTCTCTTCGTCTCGCATTTCGTTCTTCTTCTGGGACTCAGTCCTCGATATCCTGATAAACGTCCTCATATTCGAATTCGAGTACATCCTCAGCAACTTCGCCGTCGGTAGTTCCTCTACAGCAGTGCGCGATGGAGGTGCACTGGTGTCTTTCTCATTGTCTGTCGAAGGACGTTCACATTCGTCGTTATCTTCCTCTTTCAGAAGAGAGTCTTTGATTCTCTGGATATCTTCTCCAAATGCATCCATCTCGCTGCTTACTTCGGTGACCCTTCTTCCTTGTTTTGAGATCTCTTCCTGGAGATCTCCCATTTCCGCTTCCATGCTCCTTTGCAGTCCAGACTGCTTCTTTCACGTCCGTGAACACGCTCCTATGGTCTTCTTTCCCAATCTGGGTTTCTGCATTCATCATTTCATTTTCCATGCACCGGAGCATCTCGTCTGAGAAGCCGATCTCCTTACGGACATAATCACTCACAAACACTGGCTCCATCGGCAGTCCTTCGATATCCTCCTCGTAGAACGTGCTCCTTGAGCTTTCGGTCGCCGCCTCTGCGATGATCAAGAACTTATATGCGACATCGCGAGTGCTTCCGCTGCACTGCGCAGTCGTTCTTTCGTGTGGCACGTTCTTATCCAAACATTTTCCACCAATCCTTTGTAGAGGGTGGCTTCCCCTCTCGCGTAGTGACCTGGACGGTCTCCCTGCAACTTTGTGAACTCGTCCTGCAAGTTGTTGGTCTTGGTAGCGCAAAGGATTTCTCTGACGAAGTGACGAATTTTCCGTCGAACATCGTGTTCTGTTGGCAAAGCCTCACACAGGACCGTTTGAGTTCCAGTTCGTCGATCAATCGTGGTTCTTCATGTCTTCGTCGTCGTTCGAGAGAATCGCACCTGTCAGGGCCGTCCCATCCAACATTTTCGCTTCCTTGGGGAGCCCCCTATAATATCTATGTGAATGCGGCAGCCTATGTTAGAGCGCAAGAAAACATTACCTTCAAGCCCACGTTTACTCTGCCTTGAAGAGAAAGCGTTCATAACAGCCTCCCGTATGTAGGATTCTACCAAAGGCAATATGTTCACACCGGGCTAAGTCGCCGTACGCACAATAGCTTATTAAGTTCGATTACCAAGTTCCCTTAAGATAGCTTTATTCTTTGTCCAAACTGCTACCTTCACCCTCTTTCGTTTCACCATGAGGTACACCAGCAGGAAGCACTAGTGACGGGCATCTAGGATCTGCATGAGCATCACTGCTGGTCTCCTGGCTCTGAGTACGTTGCCCAGAAGAAGGCATAACCTGGGACCACATCCATTCTAAGCCATTTCAACTTCTCACCTCTCATTATCGTTGACCTTCTTTCGTGCTTCCGTCTCTCTTCCGCTGCACCGTCTCCACCAGTTCCAGATCGAGAATCTCCATGGGAACATGCGTTCCTTTTTGGACTCCATCACCGAACCAGCACCACATCACACTGCAGCATCATCGGAAAGAGAAAAAGTTGAAAATAAGGGAATAAGAGCGAGAAATGAAGAAATTATGGAAGTCTCAAGAGCCGTTGTACTACACTGAATTTTTCAATGTAAATGTTTCATTGTTCAGTGTAGTGTTATAGGACTCACTTGGTTTCTGGATTACTCAGCGCATGGCAGTTCCATCGTGATGACCAGCTGCCTAAAATTACTTATGTTGGTCATTGAGCTTTTCCGACCAACACAGGAGACATTTGTTCACACCACCTGGTCTACATGATCTTTCACCAGTGATTTCAATGCATAACTTATCTAGGATCATTGACAAGAGCAAAACAAATCCTTTTCGGCTTTAAAAATTGGCTGAACATCGAGCTGAGGAACCCATGCTGCGAAAAAAATGATGAACAAAAACACAACGCGCCATCTAGCCTCAGTAGAAGGCTACTCGCCAAGAAATAAACCTGTAATGCTTCTGCAAAAGCCTGCGGAGTTTGGAGGTGACCGATATGGAAAAAATAAAAATTTTAAAGTTCTGCAAAAGGCATTACAAGAGTTTGGTGGTACAAGGTAAGGTTTAGTTTGTGTCGTTGCAAGTTGTCGGGGGCGGCGAGCGCGAGCTCGCGTCCGGCTGCCTTGCTCTACCAATGGTGATCGAGCAATGATCGATGTAGGAAGGAATCAGCCACTGGTGGGAAGGCCGCAGGTGGGAATCGCTGATTGCGACCCGAGGTCCCGGTGACATAAACTGCATTTCAGACTGCCGGTGGTATAAAGCAAGGTGAGGTATAGCCTCCATGGAGACCACGAAAAATATCACTGAAATTATCTTCTGATGAAGTTTAGAAGTTGAGTACCAGCAGCGACGGTATACAGCATTATTGGTAGTCTTGCTGGAGATTCACCGACATCCCCCTACTACATACAAAACAGAATCAATTACCTTGGTTATCGACACCAGCAAGAGTTTTGTGATAGGCTGAAGGAATAGTTATCTTGAGCTCCACATTTGCTTCACCACAAAATCAAAAAATGGATATCGGATCAATGGGATTCTCTTCTCCACATTTTCAGTCCTGCACCATCGCAGGGCCCACTTGAGGCGTCAACTATTGTCCCGCTCTGTTGTCTACTTCTACCGCTGCGTTCGCTTCAGTTCCTTCTTTCCCTTCTTGAGGAAATTGTCCGTGCACTTTTCTTTGAAGCTCTTCGTGGCCGCTCAATACAGGTGGTTCTCATGCCTTCTAAACGCGTACCCATTCCCTTGCAGTCACTACTCTCAAACGCGATCAGCTGGATCGGATTGTTAGCGTGACCGCCATGATGTCCCCGTTTCTGACCCTGTCTAATCATGTTCAGCCGCACGCCCATTTCAGCATAATCATTTTAGCAGAGTGGAGCTGTCTTCATGCTATGGGGCAGCTCCCGCTGCTCATCGGATCAGAAAAACAGACGTTCAACATTCCCTTATCACTATCCAATTTGAAAATGCTGACGGTGCTCTTTTGTTATCATGATTTTTGCCCAGCATGCTACAGGGGATGACCGCCTTTGACATCATGTGACATCGATACTTGCATTTACTGAATTCCAATGAATGCCTCCCTACAAATGCATGAAAATGCTTCTAATGAATCCAAATACATTCGTCTTCACAAACGGCAATTCAATGTCGGCGGCTTCTCTTATGGCAGAACAAAGGAAATGTGCGCCCTTTACATAAATCTGTCTTCAGGTATCAGTGAGCGCGTGCGTCATTTATGCCCATTCAAAATGCTAAAATCCTTCACACTTGTAGCATTGACAAAGATGATATTCGGCTCATTCCTCTCTTTCATGCGATTCTGAATGGGAGTAGAATGCGCGCCGCATCCCGGAGGATTGATTTAGAACACTTTATAATTACCCTTATGTAAGGCACATACAGTCAGCATGGCGACAGATTACGCCGTATCACAGTCAGCCGACTGGGAAGATGGCAATCCACCCATATCTCCCAACTTTTGCCAACCTACCTCTCAGACGCTTCTGAAATACATAATAGAAGCTGGAACCATGCGGCATCACGAGTATAAGTACTTCCGCCGAAGTTCAATTGGCAAAATGAAACTGGTATCTCTTCGTTGCGTAACATATTGTTCGTTTCATTGCCCGGTATATTGGCGGGAATTCTCAAGAATGCCTCCCCAAGGGTAACAGCGCCCAGCATTTGGTTGGGCCTCTTTGGAAGAGAAGTTTTCTATTCCGTCTTCTTCTTATTGCTTCGCCGATTTTTTGTGGGGCGGGGGGTGCGCAATGGATTATTGGAGAATAACAAAAGAGAACAGCACTATTCTGTAGGACTAAGCTTCTTCTTGCCAGTTTTGCCGTCAGATCTTTAGCAATGTAGGCCCTTACATTTTCAACTAGTACGATAATCCTACTATATATAAACGGCAACGTCTGTCTGTTTGTCTGT